TCGACCCTGATATCGATTAATCAAAAAGTTAAAAAAAGTCAGGGCCCGGGGGGCCCAATCTCAAATTCGATATCATTTTCATAAAAAGCACCCCCTAAAACCTAATAGTCGACCCTGATATCGATTTAATCTAAAAAGTTAAAAAAAGTCGAGGCCCGGGGGGCCCAATCTCAAATTCGATATCATTTTCATAAAAAGCACCCCCTAAAACCTAATAGTCGACCCTGATATCGATTTAATCCAAAAAGTTAAAAAAAGTCGGGGCCCGGGGGGCCCAATCTCAAATTCGATATCATTTTCATAAAAAGCGCCCCCCAGAACATAATAGTCGACCCTGATATCGATTTAATTCAAAAAGTTAAAAAAAGTCGGGGCCAGGGGGGCCTATTCCCAAATTCGATATCATTTTCATAAAAAGCGCCCCCTAAAACCTAATAGTCCACCCTGATATCGATTTAATCTAAAAAGTTAAAAAAAGTCGGGGCCCGGGGGGCCCAATCTCAAATTCGATATCATTTTCATAAAAAGCACCCCCTAAAACCTAATAGTCGACCCTGATATCGAATTAATTCAAAAAGTTAAAAAAAGTCGGGGCCCGGGGGGCCCAATCTCAAATTCGATATCATTTTCATAAAAAGCGCCCCCCAGAACATAATAGTCGACCCTGATATCGATTTAATTCAAAAAGTTAAAAAAAAGTCGGGGCCAGGGGGGCCTATTCCCAAATTCGATATCATTTTCATAAAAAGCGCCCCCTAAAACCTAATAGTCCACCCTGATATCGATTTAATCTAAAAAGTTAAAAAAAGTCGGGGCCCGGGGGGCCCAATCTCAAATTCGATATCATTTTCGATCGATACTATTTTAAAAAACTATACCCCCATAAGATAACAATGGACTTAAACATGGAAGAAATATTAAATATTCTACTCCTGTAATTTTTATAATGAAATACTCGATTACTTTGAAAAGTACTCAGAGTAAAATATTGCTGAGTAGATTTGAAAATAGAAAGTACTCACGAGGACAGCTGATTACTTTTTGTACTCATCAATCATGAAGTCGAGTAGTGATTGAAGTACTCGATACTCGAACCGGGCGAGTATTTGAGTAAATTACTCTGTAATTGTACTTTTTACTCAGAGTACAATTTTGCCCATCTCTAATGAGTGGTAATGCTGTGCAATGAAATGAAATGGTGATACATTATTTACACAATAATTCATATTTCATTACATTTTTAATTATTTGATTCCAGTTAAACAATGTCTGATACTCCTAACTGATAAGAAATTTCTTGATCTGTCCATTGGTATCTTCAAATTTAGTAAAAGATCATTTTTGGAAGAGATAAAAGATTTTAAAGGATAAAATAGTCAAGAATAATGTTTTTTAAAAAGTTTAATTTCATATAAAACCCTTTAACATTAGATGATGGTTAATTGGGTGTTAGTTTTTGTTACTATGGAGGTATAGAATCTGACCTTGAAATTTTCTGTTTTTTTATCTGGTATACATATATACAGGGTGTCCAATAAGTAGAGGGAAATATTTAAAGGTGATATCATACCTCAAGTTTTATAAACAATGGTCTGATTTTCCACAGGAGGAAATTTTAGTTTTGTGTATTTTTAAGTTAGTCATGGTTGCTGATAAATAGGCAGCAATAACTCAAAAAATATTTGATTTAGGTAATTAACAATTGCTTCACTGTAAGGTAGACAAAATTTACTTACAATGAAAGTGGAGTTCATCATTATTAAAACCATTTAAAGAGGACTTTTGAGCAGATAAACTAAGCCAAGTTTTGTTTTTAAAATAATCATGAATTAATCGTGATTTTTTGTTTATCACCCTCCAATTATACTACAGACATCCCACTTTTAGAAAAACTTCCTTGTTTATTAAGCTTTAAGTACACATAAATTGAGTTGAGGTTTATTACAAATTTAGTTGAGATATAACCTCAAGTGGTGTAAAAAAATATGTTTTTACCAAAAATGACCACAATAAATCATTGCAAAGCTTTAATTTCATTTTTTCCATGACCTGAAATGTATTTTAGTAAATATAACTGCCGTAAACCAATGACTTCCTGTCCTACAGTTTCCTTCAACAATACTCTAGTTGAACATTTATGTTATCTTACCTTTATCGTTATCTTTATAGTTAAATAAAAATTTAAAATTTTTCCAAGCTATGTCCATTACTCTTACCGTCCCTCTGTCCATTACTAGAATAATTGAAATCCGGTGTGTCCATCACTAGTGCAATTAGGTGTTGTTGTTTTTTTTTAAATGGAGATTATACCTAGATAACTAAATATTTTTTTAGTCTTTAAGTGTTAAATAGAAAAAGGAGACCCTAGATATTCTAAACGTGCAAAAGAGAAGTTTATAACTATAACAATTTCAGCGGTATAAGCAAAAAAAGACAGAAATTTCCTTACCTATGTCCATCACTGGTGCACTTACCCTAAATGTTTTCAACCCTAATATTTTAATAATAATAATACTTTATTTATTCTGGAACAAGTCCCTTTAGAATAATTCAGAAAGATATAAATATGGGCTAAGGAGCCTCAGAGGTGCATAAATAAAGATGCAGAGTAATTAAACAGTCATAGTAATAAAATAAAAAAATTATAAGTTACTTTCTAATTTTAATCAGTTAATAATAAAAAATAAAAAATTGGAAAAAAAGGATGAGGTAAAAATAATGAAGAACGAGCTAATAATTTATATACATATTTACATTAGTATCTATTTACAATTTCATGGGGACTGGATGGATAAAAAATGATGCCAAACAACAATAGTCAAAGTGGGGGAAAATTAAAGAAGTGACTAGGAGCCTATGGGTTTCAAATGGAAATAGGTGACTAGAATAATTTAGACGTTTTAGAGTGAAATGAAAAATATTTATATTTAAAATACAGAAACCTGATGATTGTTAGAATTATTTTCACTAAAACGTAAACTTCAGGATTAGAAGCATTTATTAGGTTACTTATAAGTACGGATCAATTCCTATAATGCAGTTCTAGATTAAAAACAGTTTCATTATAACGTTAGATGATAAATATTTAAAAAATCGTTATTTTTAACATTTTTATTTGTAAATAAAATGTGTATTTATGTATATTATAATACATCTCAGGTAATGCTAATAATGGAAATTAAAGTTTTGCCATAGTTTATTGAAGTTATTTTTGCTAAAACATGGGTACTTTTAGATGGCAGGGAAACAAATCACCTCATTTTTTTACACAACTTAATGTGAATCTCAACTTCTTTTGTAATAAAATTCAACTTAATTAATATGGAGGAGTTAAAGATTATAAAACAGGCAAGTTTTTCTGAAAGCGGATTATCTATAGTATAGTTGAAAAGAGGTAAAAATTAAATCGCAAATCGTTCATGATTTTTTTAAAAACAGAACTTAGCTTAACTTAGAACTTCGAACTTAGCTCAGAAGTCCTCTTTATATGATTTTAACAATGACAGTCTTATTTTCACTTTTATTTATATAAATTATGGGTTAGAATGGATTCATCCTTTTTTTTTTTTTAATTAATTACATTCGGGTAAAATTGACAATATCATATGTTTTCTTACAACCTGCTATAGACTATATTTTCTTGAGTATTCATACTCTATATCAACAAATGAATTTATTTGCTCTTTGGTCATTGAATCATGCTGCTCAACCCAAACTTCCTATCCACTCCCTCCAATCAAAAATCCTCATTGCATCTTATTATTTATCATGCCTGAATTAATGTACCATAACCTTAAATTCCATGTGTAAATGATTTTTTTTTTTGCTTTTGCTCCATATCTACCAATTTCTACTATTAAATGGAGATTATTCTACAGGTACAAGCAAAGCTATTTTATTAATAACTTATTATTATTAATAAATTTCAATCTGCCCATCTAAATTCAAACTATAACTGCTATACTTGAGAATGATTAAGCTGGAAATGCTTTTACATGCTCAGCCAACACATCCTCTTAATATATAAATGATCTGACAAAACATCAATTAGTATTCCTTCCACAATTAACTTAAATATTTCTCTAATCTTTGGCATGTAAATTATCCTTCATAGCAATCCGTGGTAATCCTCTGATATATCTTTTATATAAATTACTCAATGAACTTACATAGTATATTTTATTGGACTGCTACCAATGAATAACTTTGACCATACCTATTCATACCATTCAAGTCAGCTACATATTATACAGCTATTTACTCTGTATAAATCTCGTAGGTCATTGTGAATTTCAATTAATAAATGTTTAAACACTTCCTAAGGGAGCGGGGTAGCTCAGTGGTAGGGCACTTTGCTTCCAATGCAAAGGTCCCGAGTTCGAACCCCGGCTCATGGCAGAAAATTTATTTATCTGTTTCATTGGCCGTGGGGGGACCTTGGGTCAGGAGTCCCTCCTGGGGCACACCCAGCCTCTATAAAGTGGGTTAAATTAATTATTTAATTAAGGGGAAAAACCTGACGGTTGAGCGTGATCTCGGTCAAATCACCTCCTTGCACAACCGTGGACCTAGAAATAGTGCTTTCCCTAAATAGTACTGAACCCCAGACCCTTCATGGGTTGTAGTGGTACAGGTTTTTTTTTTTTTTTTTTAAACATTTCCTAACCATCAAGTGTTGACTTTATGGATTGCTTGATAGTTAGAAATTTAAGACTTTTGTCTCTATAGGTATATCTTCTAGTACATTTCAAAGTGATAAATATGAAAGTTACATTTTTTCTCAATATGCAGTTTGACATTGTCTTGAAGTCCCTAATCCAGTAATATATTGTTTTTTTGTTATTTAGCATACTTCATTATTGTAATGTTGCGTTAATTTTAAGTTATTACTAGTCTCAATTATTTCTAATTTTAAAACAACTTTTTCAAATATATTCACTTTTTCAACAAGGAGTTTCAAATATATTATATCAATTTTCTTTTTTTTTTTTTTTATATAGCATGCTGGTGATGTTTATGAAGCTTATCGTTGGGTAGATGAAGCTCAAGCCCTGGATACTGCTGATCGATACATAAATTCAAAATGTGCTAAATATATGCTTAGGGCAAATATGGTTAAAGAAGCAGAAGAGATATGTTCTAAATTTACTAGGGTAAGTAATGTACAGTGGATTACAGTTGACTTTCACTAATATGGACTATATGGGACTGGACTGAACCCTATCGGAATTACGAAACTGATATAATAAAATTTGCTGTAAAATGCACATTATCAAATTTTATGACAATTTATTTCTTCTCATGAATAAACCTTTTTCTTTAATTTTTTTTATTTCTATTGTCAATATTAAATTATGTATGTGTATATCTAAGTTTTTGATCTATAAAAATAAATAGGGTTAACAATAGGTCCCAGATTTGTATAATTCATCCTTTTTCTTTTTGTTTGAAGGAAAACAGAGTTCTCAACAGATTTATGTATTGATTAGTATATTTAAAATCCTACAGGATCTTTTTTGCTATTTTGCACTAAAATTTATATTTTTTGCAATTTCCCCTTAAAACCTCGCACAAAAAAAGAGTCTTTTCTGATGTCTTCACTTAAAGTTTGAATCAATTGAATGTATTTACAAATTATTATGTATGCTTTTACGCTAAACTAAATATATAATTATATTTTGAGAAGAATAAAAAATACTATTATATGATATAGTGTATAATTGATCTCATCCCCAACTAACTTCTCAAATTATAACTACGGTCAACCATCACCACTCCATCTAATTATATCAATTAGGTTTAACTAAATTATTAATATTAATTAAAGTTAACTAAATTATGTATTAATCTCATTGTTGTTATATCTCAAATCACTTTACTCATATAAATATTTCATTTATTTTCTATATATATGTAGAGTACCACGGTACTATTCGTGGCAGGCTAATGTTGAAATGTTAAAAATTAAGAAATAAAGGTTTGGATTGAATTGCTGTTGAAAAATGTTTCTATTTTGGCATAACATGTCCTGACACATCTGGTTTTAATTAAATCTTAACTAAATTATTTTCACACTTACTGCTTGAATAATTAAGCTACGAAATAGATATGTATAATTAGTGTACTGAAGTATACTTTTTTTTTTAATCCTGTCCAAATTAGAGGAACTCAATTATAAAACCTTTTGGTAAGGATTATTGAAATAAATTAATAATTATTTTTAAATAAAGGCTAATTTTTAATTAATCTATTTAAATTATTTTACTGTTACATTTGATATATATATATATATATATATATATATATATATATATATATATATATATATATATATATATATATATATATTTATATTTATATATTTATAATTGCATCTGTTTTATTCATTTTTATTAACATTGTCAATATTATTTTCTCCAACAAAAAACTTTATAATTCCTTCTTTTAATATTGTTTTAAAAGAATAATTATTCTTAAGTTATATGTGAGCTTCTTTTAGTACAGTCAAACCATTTAAACTCATTAAGTAAGATGGTCAAGATTTATTTGGATAAATAAATATATACTAACTAAGTGGGTTTATATTTTATATATAAACACAGAAACACATGGCTGATCTGTTCCTATCCTTAGGAAGTGCTCCATGTATGAATATGGCAATTACAGAGGTATAGCACTTCTTCCGGTTGCCTATAAGATAATGACTAATATTCTGCTAAATCGGATATATCCGTATTATGAAAACATAATAGGCGACCACCAATCAGGATTCAGGAGAGGAAGGAATACGCTAGACCAGATATCCTAAAACAATTACTCGAAAAACGATGGGTAGTAGATCAGGACCTACACGCCTTATTTGTTGACTTCAAAACAGCCTATGGCTCGGTGGAAATAAACTGTCTCTGGAAGATCATGACTGAGCTGGGTGTTCCTGAGAAGTTAGTGAAGTGATCATAAATACAGGTTACTAATACAAGAAGTATCTAAAGCCTTTGAAGTTCGAAAGGGTTTGATGCAGGGATATGGATGCTTGCCGATGCTGTTCAACTTAGTCCTAGAGAAAGTAATGAGAACAACATCACGAAAAGATGGAGGGGTGCATGTTGGAATGAAACATAAAATTCTAGCATATAGGATGATATAGCTGTGCTCGGAAGGAATCAAGAGGATATTGAGAGACTCGTCCTGAATCTGTTAAAAGAAGCAGAGCAAATCGGACTAGAAGTCAATGTAGATGAAACAAAATATATGATAGTTAGGTGAAAAATCTACCCTAATAACATGATCTGCGTGAGCTTTTAAGTCATTCCTGAAAGTAGACAGATTCAAATACCTCGGCTCCACAATAACCTCAATAAATGATCAACTAACCGAGATAGACCAGTGAATAGCAATTGCTAACAGAGATTTCTTCTCTCTTTCAAGGGTACTTAAATCCAGAAAATTGTTCAGAAATCTAAAAATAAGGGTGTACAATGCCGCAATAAAGCCAGTTCTACTGTAAGGCTGTGAAACCTGTGCTCTAACCTGCACACTAGAAGCCAGAATTGAGAGATTCAAATGAAAAGTTCTCTGTAAGATAACAGGACCTATCTGGAATCAGAATCTTAACATATGGAGGAGAAGGAACAATAAAGAACTGCTAAAAGAAAGTGGTCAGTCAATATCTTATATGAAAACGAAGAGGGTTCCGATATTCGTCTCGATTTCAATCGGGATTGTTTCGAATTTCGTCTATCTTACGAATTCTCTAAAATAGTCATTTTAATAAAAAAAATTGAATGGGAGTTGGATAGATAGAAAGATAGATACAAACGTAAATTATCATTATATCTGATAGTCGCCAGGACCGCAGCTAACGTGTTAAGATGGGCGGGACATGCAGCTCAAAGCACTCCATCAGGATACCTTTACACAACAACTAATGCCAGAGAAGTAGGCTACGGCTGTGCTTCATGCCGCAAACTGGAAAGAAGTAGCCCAAGATAGGCAGAGGTGGGGAAGGCTGGTTCAGGTGACCAATGATCTACAAGGTCTGTAGAGCCAATCGAAAAAAAAAAAAAAAAAATAGATATATATATATATATATATGTAGTAGTTCTTACTAAATGCCTTTTTGATTTTCACATGGTCGTTTTGTGAAAATCATATTTATTTTTAACTAACCATGATTTATAACAATTTTTTAGATACAAAACCTTATGTAAACGCTACCTGAGTGTTTATCATCTTCTGAAGTTTGCCAGTAATCTTATTTTTTTTAAAAATAAGTTCTTTTTTTTTAGTTTTCTTTTCAGTTTATGTTCTATCCTAAAATTTATATAAATTTGTTCGCCTAATTAATTAAGGTTTCTTTTTCAGGAAGGTGTTTCAGCGATGGAAAACCTTAATGAAATGCAATGTATGTGGTTTCAAACAGAATGTGCCCTAGCTTATAAGAGGCTTGAAAACTGGGGTGAGGCTTTAAAAAAATGTCATGAAGTTGACAGGGTAATGTATTATTTCTGAATTAATTTAAATAATTATTGTTTTATTATGAAAAAATATCTTAGAATTTCTTACCTAATATTTTATGTTATAATATTACATCATAGGTGTATGTGTAATACAATGTACAAATAATACACTAATAGCAGATACAAGTAAATACAAATAGTACAAAATTTTAGCCATCTTGGTAAACCTAATCCTAACCTTAAGAACTTTTGACATAATTGAAGATAGTAATCTAGTGTAAAATACTTATTAGGTAAATATTTACAGGTTATTAACTCTTAATTTTTTAATGTAAATAAAATGTTATTATTTTTTAATTTTTCAGCATTTTTCTGAAATTGTCGAAGATCAATTTGACTTTCATACTTATTGTATGAGAAAAATGACACTGAGGTCTTATGTTGGTCTATTAAGGCTTGAGGATGTTCTTAGATCCCATAAGTTTTTTCAAAAGGCTGCTAGCTGCGCAATAAATGTTTACCTTCATTTGCATGATGTTCCTATTAAGGATCAAAAACATGAGGAACAGATGAAATTAGGTAAGATAAATACTAACAATTTGCATGCTTTAATTTTTGTAGCTTCAATATACAGACGCCTGCTGTTGAATTGTTACGCTATAAAATTAAAAAATATTTAAAAACCTAAATACACTTTCAAAATTTTATTTCCATTTAAATGTAAAATTCTATATAAAAAAATTACTCTAAGTGTTTTTCATATAAGTTATCATGTTAGTATTTTCTAACTAAAACATATTTAAAACATTGAGCACTATAATACTGACAGGTGAATATTTCAAACTTTTGAGTTGAGCTGAATCAAAATCGAATGAGTAGACATAGTCAAGTGCCTCTACTCCATAATAACATCAGTGAATGACCAACAGTCAGATATAGATCAGTATATAACAAGTGTAAACAGAGTTTTATTTTATCTTTCTTAGGTATTGTAATCACTAAAATTTTCTAATTAGGGGTGTAAAATGCTATGATAATGCCATTTCTGATAAATGGCTGCGAGACCTGGAGACAATAACCAGCCAGCATCCTAGAAAAAAGTACTGAAAGATTTGAATGGGAAAATGCTCCACACGATAATCAGAGCGATCTGGGATCAGAGTACCAACACATGAAGAACCAATAAACAACTATTTATAAAAACTGGTCAATCAGTATTGTCACTAGAGTTTGTGAATAATCGATAAGATCATCAATTAGATTTTTAATTAATCAATACGATCATCTATTAGATCAGGCAAGTGGGTGTCAACTGACAGATATGAAATATTGAAATTCTTTATGCTTATAGATTATATGATTTGGTCGAATACCAAATATAAGGAAATAATGGGGCAGCATTAATTAAATAATTTTATCCCTTGTTCATTGATGACTTGTAACACTTTTGGGTTGTTAGATATGTGATATTTTTCTATAAATGTGAAATGCCCATATAACTAATGGTTTTTCAAGCCACGACTGTAATGTTTTGGATTTTTTAGAAAACACATTATAATTATAGTTATACTATTTTATTAATAACTATAATTACGCATTATTTTGTATTTTATGACCTGCACCCACTGCCTGCATAAATTATATATTGTGAGGTGTCACAGAGACCTTTGACTGAGATGATTAAAAGATTCCCAAATATTTGCGCACCATTAAAATAAAAATAAAGTATATATAATATTACATATATTATATAATAATTATGTAATATTTTTACTTATTATTTTTGTTGCGTACTTTATACCGAGGCTATGGTTGAGTTTTAGTGTAATTGTAATATTTGAGAGAGCCAAGGATAATTATCCTAGAGGTCCAGAAACTTATTTCTGGGGCCCTTGGTTTCTCTTCATAGCGCTGGTAACAAGTATTATACTTTAGTTACTTCCTCTGTTAATGATTGACAAGAAAAAAATGTACCTAATTCTCCTCATGATTACTTTCTATTTGATCAATATACTTACAAGAGGGAGGATACAGATATGGAATTACTGATTTCAATGAAACTTTTTTTTGTGATATTAAGTCGAAAGATATTGTATATATCCAAGGATTCTTGCCAATGCTAGGAGCCAGGAAAAAAAAGTAACCTAATTTTAATATATATTTTTTTTAAAATTTTTGTTTTCTGCTTTTGCTCTGCACAAATTTTTAGGTATATAGTATACCAGCCTATTTTTTTTTATTTTTTTTTTTGTAAATGTAAGAGAATTTGAAAAATGGAATAATTCTAGCAATAAAGTAAGTCAAATAATGTTTGTTATAAAAAAGCAAGTCAGATTAATTTTTAATGTCTTTTAAAACTTAAATATGAATTTGTATGTAATGAAAAATACAAGTTTTTGGATTTATTTTATTGCAGGAATTTATTTTTTTTTCTACTAAAGTATTCATAACTCCTCAGTATTTTCTCCAAATTCAACGTTACTTCAACTATTGGAAAGCAGAATTATTGCTGTTCGTATCAGTAACTTTTAGATTTTATGCCTTGTTCATTGACTGAGGTCTATTTGTTCCATTTTGTGTAGTTTATAAGGCACAAAAATCACAAGTTTTTGATTAAAAAAAAAAAATCTTAGGGCCAGGAAGGCAAAAGTTTTGAACAAAAAATTGTTATTTTTCAATTTGAATGAAAATTGGTATTTAAGAATTTTTGAAGGTGTGAAATATGTGAGTCAATTTAGTTTCTCTATAGAAAAATGTTTTACCCCATTTCGCTCCTTCAGTTGCTACAAACCGTTTTTATATTTTATTAGTTCCATTTTTTTTTTTTTTTTCAAACTGGGCGGGTATCTAGAGTAGTATACATTTTTTAGCTAATACCAATACTTAAGTCAGCCTATTGACCTTTCTTTTCTTTCTGTCAAGGTTCGTATAGTAACACTTATAATATTTTCATTATTGCTGAATAAACTTGTCAATCAATTGCCTAGGTGTCCACCTATATAGAAATTTCTACCTCTAACATTATTTCAAAGACTAATGTTCTTTTTTTTTCTGTTTTGGTTCTCACAGTTTTACTTGAATTATACTTCGTATTGGTGAATAAAGGTGTCAATCTATATTCTAGGGATCAGCCTATCAACATTTTTTTTTGTTTGTTAATGTTGAGGTTTGTACAGTTTCACTTGAATTAGTCTTCTGATTACAATTGATATATTCCTTGATATATCTGCATTTTCTTTGTGGTCTGTAAGGTGTCATTTAAAAAATTCTTTTTATTGCTGTCAAAGTTAGATTTTATTATGCATAAATAAAGGAAAACTTCTCAATAGTTTTAATTTTTTTTCTTAAGTTCTAATTTGCTTAAAGAGGTTAGGTTTGAGCCATTCCATGTATTTAATAGGACCATCAGTCCATGATAAGTTTTGTGTTTGTAGGTGGAGTCGTCTTGAAGTTATCACAATTTTTGTTATTAAAAAAAAAAAAAAAGAAAGAACTTCAAAAATCTTGAGTAAAAATTTCTTACTTCTCAATTGCTATAAAAATCTGGTTGGAAGATGCTATAAGTTGAATCAAAAAAGCTAATGGGGTGTTGGTTCAACTTTACTCAATATGGGAGAACAAGACATTGTCCAATAAAACAAAAATAAAGTTGCTTAACACCAATGCAAAATCAGTCCTGCTATATGGAAGGAGACTGAAAATGTTACCCAAACCCTTTAGACCTTTATCAACCTCTGCTTACAAAGAATCCTCGAGATCTGATGGCCTGAGAGGATCTCTAACAAAGAGCTTTGGAGCATCACAAGGCAGCTTCCTATCCACGCCAAATAAGGGAAAAAATCTGGTGCTCGTAACATACAACATTCACTTACTGCTCTACTTTGAATAGAAATTATTTCCTGGCAATGTTGGGCTATTATAAAATTTCTGAAGTGATAAATTCAACTTAACAATTTATTAATAAACTTTACAAATCATTAATACCATTAAAATAACAAAAATCCTATTTATTATATCAACGGTTGATTATGGATTGTACGACTATTAGTTATTAAACTTTTTTTCCACAGTAAAGTTTACTGAAATGGAATAACGAGATTTGCATTGCCTGTCATAGATAGTCAAAAGTTGTCACACTAATTGTAAGTGGATATTGTTGGGATATCACAAAGAGAAAATTCACCAAACTATTCACTAATTTAATTTTATAAAAGTTTACATGATGATTTTTTGGAATAAACGGACAATTAATAACTCATTACTTAAATATAATATTAGATTTCATTTTGGGAGGCTTCAGCCCAAAAGGTTTTTTTTTTTAATATAATAATTACTTTGGAAGAAAAAGAAAGAAACTAACTGCCTTTACGAAATGGTGTTTGAGTGATTCTTGAAGTCCTGTCAAATGTAATTATAGGAACAATAATATTTTCAAGGATGTTTTTTAAATATTTTTTCCTTAAGACATGATAATATTTTACCATTTTGGAAGGGAGGAAGCTTCAGCCCGAAAGCCTCCCCTTCCGTAGATCTGCCTGCGAACTACAGTAAATATATCTTAGGTTATAAACATATCCATGAAATATTTTTATATTTCACTTCTTCTTTCACACAAGTACAATGAAATAGTATTTTAAACAATGTCATTATCTTGATTTGGTGGTTTTTAAATACTTTTTAATACGTTCAAACTTTAAAAAGATTTTAAAAGTTTACACTATTAAGAAAATATCGTTTAATTTCCCTGGAAACATGTGGTTAACGTTAAATAATGTTAGTTTTCAGAAATTATTTATTTTTTTTTTTCATCATTCTCCATTACCTTCTACAACTTTATTTATTTGATATTATTTTTTCTGAAATTCCCTGCTTTCCAACGATATATTATACATATACCTTCTGACTATTATTTCCGGAGATTCTTTTTCAACCTGTATAAGTATTTTTCTTTTTTTCTCCTTTATTCAATTATCAAAAGTTATATCTAACCTTTATTCATAACTCCTAATAACAAGAGATAGTGAATTATTTAAAATAAACCAAATTGAATATTGAGCATTTAAGTCCTGTAAAGCAACATCAATGTGGATAAGACCTAGCTGATATTAAAGGCCACTTAATAATAATAATAATAATAATGCTTTATTTATTCTGGGACGAGTCCCTTTAGAACAGTACAGAAAGATAAAAGTATGGGTTTAGGAGCCTCAGAGATACATAAACAAAAATATAGAGTAAGTATATAGTCAAAATAAAAAAAAATAATAAAAGAGATTATAAATTACTTTCTAATTTAGATCAGTTAATAATAAAAAATAAAAAATTGCAAATAAACATGCAGTAAAAATAATAAATAACGATCTAATAATTTATATACATGTTTACAATAGTTACTATTTACAATTTTATGGGGACTGGATGGATAAGAAATGATTGAACTGACGGGTTTTAAAGGTAGGAAGGGTTTTGGATTGACCGGATGTCGGGAGGAATGGAGTTACATAGGGATGAGGATCGGATTATGAACGATCTGTCGAAAGCAGCGGTTTCGTGGGCCCTTATGTATAAATCAGAAGACC